TTCTTTGCATCAGAGCCAATTATCATTTCAATAGATTATATTAGATTACCAATACTGATGAATTGTTTCCAAAGTTCTTTGAAGTATAAGTCTACTAATTCATGACAGTTTAAAGGCTTAATTTGTATGTGTGTATACGTGTATGTATGCATGTGTGGGCGTGTTGTTGTCTGCCTACGCATAAAAACAATGAACAAATTTTTATTTTTTTAATTGACTATTTATTATGGCACCATGGTAAAGACAGACAAAGGTTAGATGCATTTCTTTTGAATACATTGCGTTGACTTGAAATTTTGGACCACTGGTGCCTTAAACAATGATCAGATGTCTTATTCTCACTGCCTTTGATGGAAGGTTTGATTGGATCTTGTTTAGGAGACTCCGAAGTACTTTTGAAATGAAACTGTGAGTGTCTTGAGTTCACTCTATTTGTAATCTTGTTCTAATTTGATCTTTGGCAGGAAGTAGTTCTGAAACTTTCAGACAAATGTAGAGCTTAGTTGATGACTTCACTAGCCAATGTCGATGCTGAGTGAATGTCCTCTTGCCGGACTTCGTGGACTCCGCTAGTTCTTCTTACTAGAACCCCAGGTAACTTCTTGTATTAGTGTAACAATAGAAGACAAGGCCCAGGCAACAGATCGTTTATTAAGGAAATCAACATATATTTTAGACTTTCATGTACATATTATAGATTATTGTCAGCAGATAAACACAGTCTTCTGATTGGTTGTTTCCCACTGAAAGTTAACCTTGCATTTTTTTGTGGGGCTGATTCTTGAATGTGGGATAATCTATATGCTAACTGTATCCACCTACTCAAAGCTTTTGTTCTCATTTTTCTTACGACCAATCTTGGGGACATAAATATTGGCGTAGATTACTGTCCATCGATTTTGACTAACAGCCAGCTCTCACCACATTAAGGCCGGGTAGCTAGGAATTTGATTGGTCACAAGATTGATCACGGTAGTTATGCGAAGTGTGTACCACGAGTTGGCAGAAGTTGGAATTCATGGACCATTGAGTTGGGGGTCCCAGTGACGAATGGTCTACAAGCTCGCCTCATAGCTGGAGTGTCCTTGGTTCTAAACCTGGTGATGGGTGCATACTCTTGAAGGGTCGTATGCTAGTTTGGTGAAAGAGTTGTGCAGCATATCCCGTTGGTATTTGCAATGGTTCTCTCTAAGTGATGTCATCTGACGATGAAATCCTGTAACCAATGAAATCTCCTAAAACAACCCTCGTTGTGATTATCGATTCAGACATGAATTTATTTTAGCGTGAGATAGTTTCGAGTGGAACATTGGTCCGCAAACTTAGCATGCTCAGTTTACCCCAGCCGGTCACATAGGGAGGTGTAGACCGCCTGACTGCTGGTCGGGGTCCTCGGGATGCCAAAAACCAATGACGGCTGAGGACAATCGGTGATATGTCTCAAATTCCTTCTCAATGGCTGACTGGAACAGATGCATTCATTCAATCTTTGTGATGCGTCATATCCAATAAAACTTTATTTTTCTTCCCTAGTACTACTATTCCATTTCTTTCACTCACACTTGTGCTGATCATCTATCGTTTCAATCTCTGTTTATTGCCTTCTCTTGATTCGTGTCCTACATGGAGGGAGAGTGGCGATTCGAAGTGCTGCACACCCGTGCAAACTCCTGTATTAAAACCAATCAGTCAGTCCACAGAACCATAACATAATGTAAACGACTAACACAATGACGGTAACTACTTTTAGTCTAAACGCTATCCAAACGACCTTTCTGGCGTAGTTTGACCTGCAAGGAAATTACTTCCAGCTAGCATAGTTTGTCACACAGCATTGAGATGATATCCAAGTCTACTCAACAGGTAGGTGTCAAAGGAGGAGCTCTCCATCGGGTGATAGTGTGGCGTGTGTTACTCACAAGATTTAACAGTAGTATATGCCGAGAAATGCATCCCCACAAAAAAATACCAAATAGCACAGAGATAGACTTGACGTCAAAAACACAGACAGACAGAGACAGGAAATGTTGACCAGTGGACTTGTGGTAACACATGACGGACACGAAAAGGTAGTGCAGAAGTAGGACAATAACACGGAAGATCTGTGCAAATCACAATTCTCATATAAGGTGTGGTGTACAGAATTTCCGTATTCGGAGATATCAAATTCCAAATAAACATTCATTGACCAAGTCTCTTGTCTTCGACCGTTACACTAATATTTACATATAGCCTCATGTAATTATGCCTGTCGTCATATATATATGCTATCAAACACCTATATGTATATTGTGATCTATTTTTGTACTTTAAGTGAAGTGTTTATATTGTACATTTTAAAAGTATTGACCATGTCTGCCTTTTACCTTCAATAACTAAATGTTGTGGTATGTATGTTTCTATTGTTTTATAAATAGAAGTCTGCATAATGTATGTTTTCACACCTTACTTTTATTGCTAGTGTACTATATTTGTACATAAAGCATTCTTAATTAGGTTATACTGTAATAGATAGATAGAACGGATGTTATTTGTGCATTATATAATTATTGCGTAATTCACATTTCGAACGATCTAATCCTTTACACATATTTACTTGTCAGTCAAGTTAGTTATATGAAAAATAATAACAGCCAATTAAAATACCCAAAGTGACAAAATTGATTTAAGAATGATTAACACCACATTTGGTTATATATATATATATATATATCGGCTAGGAAACTATTGCATAACCCCCACAGAGCCTCCCTTGGCGCTGTCGTAACGTTAGCCTGGCTGTCAGAGGTCGGGTATACAATGCTTCGGTGAGGACTGTTTTCCTCTACGCCTGTGAAATCTGGTCTCATCGAGCTGAGAATGTCCGGCGACTCTACGTGTTCGATCATCGCTATCTCTGCAGAAATGCTTGCGTTCGATGGAATCATCACACGAGTAATTCTGAAGTTCGACGACGTGTGTTTGAACACAGTGGAGATCGTCACTTGTTGAGAGTCGTCAACTGGGAACAACGGCTTCGGTGGCTTGGGTATGTACTGAGAATGTTATACCAGAGGCTTCAGTACAGTTCTCTGTTCGCTAGCCAGCCCTGCTACGGGATGGAAAAGGCGGAGAGGTGGTCAGTCTATGACGTGGCGTCGTTGGATGAAGGATATTTGTGCTAGATAAGCATCAGTTGGTGCGTCACGACTCCCTGGTTGGAGTCCGAGAGATAGCTCGAATCGTTGGCTCGAAACGTTACCGGATATGGCGAAGAATCGTCAGTCATCAATGGCGAACGTGTTGCAATTTCCTTCTTTCTTCCCTTCCTGATGATAGTCGACGAATGCTGTTTGAACTTGTTAAGTATGGCGGTCTTTCTTCCAGATGAAGTTCTTTATCCGTTCTCTACTTATATTTTTTTACTTCTGATCTATGTTGTTTTATTATTATTATTGTGTGGTGCATCTTCTTGGTACCATATTGTACTCAGTTTTCTGAGTTTAAATAAATAACATAAAATAATACCATAGAGTACTGGACAGCTGTTTCGTCAGCCATAACAGTTACTCATAAAAAACATTGCTAAGTGGTCACGGTATGTTGGGAATTGTCAGTAGTTAGAATTCACGGACTGGCCATTGGATAGGACAGGTCCCAGTGTCTGCTGAATGGTCTACGAGCTCACTCACCTTGTGATCAGAAGGTCGTGGGTTCGTACCTTGGTGGGTGGGTACGCAGTGTTGGAGAGTCTCAAACTATTCTGACGAAAAAACTGTCCAGTACTCTAACTGATATCAACTCATGGTGAAATGCTCCAACCAGTTAAGGATTACCAGAGTAGGTGGGGAGGGAGGGCTTAAGTCTACGAATAGTTATCGCCTCAGTGTATTTCATTAAGCACTCTTGACGGCTTTCAAAAATAACCTTAAAGGCTGTTTTGACATCAATCTTATGGTACATTATTGATTAGATGTTTATTTATAAGCGAAGTTGATAGTTCGCCAGCTGGGTTTATTATCAAGATTTCACACAGTTCATTCTGTATTTCTAACCAATTCGGCATATACTCTCCAACTACTACATACAAGGCACCATTACTGCTCATTATGTATGTATGTGTGCATACACCGAAGTAAATTGGTGTATAGTGTGGCATATAATGTAATCACTTATGCACTTTTGAGGTATGCATTGGGGCATATTTTTGGCATTTCCGCCCGCGTTCTGTCTGTCTGTCTGTTTTCGACATAGAACTTTGCACCGATGTGCACCAGTTCAAGTCGACACACTCCCTCCTTGTAGCACACAAAGCAAGAGAAGAAAGTAAAAGGTAATGCATAATAGAGACAGTAAACGGAGGTGTGAGACAAAGGAATAGTAATAACGAAGAACATTATACTTTCATTGGAAATCATAAGTCACAGAGAGTGGATGCATCTGCGCCAGCCAGCCATTGAGAACGGTCTTTTTGAGCCATATCACTATGAGTTGTCTGCAGTCTTCATTGGTTTTTACCGTCCCGACGATCCCAACCAAGCAGGTGGTCTACACCTTCCTACGTGAGTTAAACTAACTGTTGTAGATTTCATTGACTGATAAAGTCATGTTTTGGTTTGACCACCGCCAGGTCTTTTCCAGTCTGTTCCATCCTATGTCAGCTAACATTGCCTGTTGTCGAGGAAGGCGATGACTAGGCATACGTAACACATGTCATGACTGAGATGGTTCTTTGTGATAGAGACAGTGTTAAGCGTGAAACCTATGACTTGCTATGCTATGATCCTCTCCTACTTGTAATCTATGATGACTTCTTATTGAGTAAATTAGATGGTATATTGTACCAGGTGTTGGGAAAACTATGCTGTACCATGAGTAATGTTATGGAATAAAGCAAGTCGTTATTATTATTATTACTGTTATTGTTGTAGTTATTATTATTATCATCACAAACAGACCTTTTAACTATTCTTCAACACATATATCCTATTTTGTTTTTCTTTGAATTTCTTTTTTTTTAGCATCATTGTCGACATTGTGGTAAAGTTGTTTGTGATAAATGCTCAATTTATCGTTGGATATTACCCTATCAGAGTTCATCACGTGTACGCGTTTGTTCAATATGTCATAGGAAATTGTTAATTGAAAAAAACAGCGCATCTAGTCACCTCAACGACGACTGTCAACATCATCAAGAAGAAGACGTAGAAGCAGAAGACGAAGGACAAGAACGAGTTCAATACTCACAATATCATTATAATCAACAATTTGAAAAGTTGTCAGATGAAAAGTATTCACCCATTACTAATACTTCTATGACTACCACTAATACTACTATTACTGCAGCTGCAGTTGGCACTAAAATTAGTTCAGTGAATGAAACACCTAAAAATGGGATTGTTTTAACACCAAGTGAGTGATGATTGTGTTTATATTTTTTCTTAGTATTTTTAATATATTTATGCGTTGAAGTTTCTGTAGCAATTTGGTTAAGTTTTGGGGGTGGAATTGCTAGCATCACGCTCTAACCCTCCCTCTTTATCCGGACTTGAGACCGGCTAGAAAACTAGCCAGCTAGTAATCTAGGCGAGGTTTATTGGCACACAAAATTGAGGACTTACTAGCGAAAACTGTCAAACTGGCCGGTCGAAGAAGCAGTCAGAGAAGACAGGATTCCAGGTGAACATAGACAAGACGGAGGTTATGAAAATAACCAATCAGCCAACAACAACAACAACAACAGCAGGAACATCCAGCACTCAATCACCATCAACGCGAGGGATTTGAAAGAGGTTACTTCATTCACTCACTTATCTAGCTTTGAGCATTGTCTCAACTAGAGGGAGTCGGAACGGACGAGGATGTCAAATCGAGCGAGAATCGGGAAGGCGAGCGAGAAACACATTCATCAACCTGACTGAAACCAATCTGGAAATCTTCGTCACTCAGCCAGCATCAACAACAAAATTCGGTCAGATTTTCAATACAAACAGCGTCAAGTCAGTCACTTCTTCTATACGGATCAGAAACTTGGCAGTCGGGTCACAAAGACTTTTTCCAACAGGTTGCGATGCAGACCTTTATCAACAACTGTCTTCACTGGATCTATACTGAAGATAAGATGGCCGGGCCGGAAAGAATCACCAACAAGAAACTATGAGAAGAAACAAAACAAGAACAAACCAATCGCCCGACAAATATGCAGGAGAAAGTGGAGATGGAATAGACACTCGCTGAGGAGGCCGCTGGGTGACATCGCGCGCGCGTCAGGCCATCTCTCGAGTGGAACCAGGCCGAAAGGGAAGCAGGCAGCGAGTGGGACGTCAGTGCAAGGGTGACATGAAGGAGATTGTGTGAAGATGAGTTGAAACATTATGGACTAACATGGATGGATGCAGGTGAAAAGTACAGCAGAAGACAGAAGCAATTGGAGACGTGCAGTTGAAGCCCTATGTTCCACTGGGAACCCAAGGGAACAATAATAAGTGATTGTGTTGATGAAGTCTTATTGTACTTGTTTATTTGATATTTGATAGCTATTCGTAGACTTAAGCCCTCCCACCCATGCCCCGTGTGTGTGTGGAAAAATAATTTAATACCCTTAACCTACTCTGGTAATCTTTATCTGGTTGTAGGATTTCATTCTAAGTTGTGACATCGGTTACAGAACCATTGAAAAACCGTCATGGAGTACTGAACAGGTGGTGTTTTGTCAGCCTAGTTTGAAACTCTTCAACGATGCGAACCCACCAGGGTACGAATCCAGGATCTTTCTGGTCACAAGGCTAGTGAACTCCTAGACCATTAACCACTGGCACCCACCCTATCCAATGGCCAGTAGGTGAATTCTCACTTTTGAGAATTCACAACATACCGCGATCAATTAACAATGTTTTCTATGAGTAACTGTTATGGCTGACAAAACAGCTGTCTAGTCCTCTATGGTATTATTTTATTTTATTTATTTAAACGCAGAAAACTTGGTAAGTATGGCGCCAAGAAATGCGTCACACAATAATAATAAAACATCATAGATTAAAAGTTAAAAAATATAAACGGATAACGGAGAGGCCAGTTTTCACAGGTGTGGAGCAAAACAGCCCGCACCGAAGCATTGTATACCCGACCTCTGACAGCCAGATTAACGTGTCGACGACGCCAGAGGTGGCTCTATGGGGGTTATGCAATAGTTTCCTAGCCGATATATATATATATATATATATATATATATATATATATATATATATATATATATATATAACCAAATGTGGTGTTAATCATTCTTAAATCAATTTTGTCACTTTGGGTATTTTAATTGGCTGTTATTATTTTTCATATAACTAACTTGACTGACAAGTAAACGTGTGTAAAGGATTAGGTTGTTTGAAGTGTGAATTACGCAATAATTATATGATGCACAAATAACATCCGTTCTATCTATTTATTACAGTATAACCTAATTAAGAATGCTTTATGTACAAATATAGTACACTAGCAATAAAAGTAAGGTGTGAAAACATACATTATGCAGACTTCTATTTATAAAACAATAGAAACATACATACCACAACATTTAGTTATTGAAGGTAAAAGGCAGACATGGTCAATACTTTTAAAATGTACAATATAAACACTTCACTTAAAGTACAAAAATAGATCACAATATACATATAGGTGTTTGATAGCATATATATATGACGACAGGCATAATTACATGAGGCTATATGTAAATATTAGTGTAACGGTCGAAGACAAGAGACTTGGTCAATGAATGTTTATTTGGAATTTGATATCTCCGAATACGGAAATTCTGTACACCACACCTTATATGAGAATTGTGATTTGCACAGATCTTCCGTGTTATTGTCCTACTTCTGCACTACCTTTTCGTGTCCGTCATGTGTTACCACAAGTCCACTGGTCAACATTTCCTGTCTCTGTCTGTCTGTGTTTTTGACGTCAAGTCTATCTCTGTGCTATTTGGTATTTTTTTTTGTGGGGATGCATTTCTCGGCATATACTACTGTTAAATCTTGTGAGTAGTAACACACGCCACACTATCACCCGATGGAGAGCTCCTCCTTTGACACCTACCTGTTGAGTAGACTTGGATATCATCTCAATGCTGTGTGACAAACTATGCTAGCTGGAAGTAATTTCCTTGCAGGTCAAACTACGCCAGAAAGGTCGTTTGGATAGCGTTTAGACTAAAAGTAGTTACCGTCATTGTGTGTTAGTCGTTTACATTATGTTATGGTTCTGTGGACTGACTGATTGGTTTTAATACAGGAGTTTGCACGGGTGTGCAGCACTTCGAATCGCCACTCTCCCTCCATGTAGGACACGAATCAAGAGAAGGCAATAAACAGAGATTGAAACGATAGATGATCAGCACAAGTGTGAGTGAAAGAAATGGAATAGTAGTACTAGGGAAGAAAAATAGAGTTTTATTGGATATGACATATCACAAAGATTGAATGAATGCATCTGTTCCAGTCAGCCATTGAAAGCGATTTTGAGCCATATCACCAATCTTCTCTAGCCATTGCTGTTTACCATCCTGAGAACCGTAAACAGGTAGCCAGTCTGCACCTTTCTACGTGACTAGGTGCCTAGGTCAAACTAAGTGTTGTGGATTTCATTGACTGATGAGGATACAAGTTGTGATTTGTCCACCACTAACTAGCTATCTCTTTTCGAACTTGTTCCATCCTATCTGGTCAGCTGACATTGCTTGTTTGTTGAGATAGACGATGGCTGCTAGATATAGAGGTAACACATGTCGTGACCAACTCAATCGATATAATTTCACAACCTCTTGTGTATTGATTTCCCTCCTCCCACAGCTACCTAGCACTCGATGTCCGAAGATGCTAACTAACGATACTAAACGACTGTACAGTGTACATATTTTTGTAAGTGTTGTGTATATAATTGTTTTGCATTTTAAATATTTGTGAATATTATAAATATGTATACTTTTTGTAACATTCAGTCACTCACATGATGTTATGTTATTATTCAAGTCCTGTTTGTCTCAATCTACGCCTTTTAATTTAGCCTTTCTTGGTAATGTCAACATGTCAAATGATGAATTGAACACGGAAAGTGATACAGAATCAGAAACAAATGATTGTAAGTGTTTATAAGTTACTTCATTCACCTCTGTTGTGTGTACCTCATGTGTTCCTATATACAAACTGTCTCATGATTTGTCTGATGTTTATTTAACGGGTATTCTGACGAATTGAGCTAAAATTTGTTTAGTTAGCTGGTGGGTTAGTTAGTTAGGTAATCAGTTACTCGGGAAACCATATTAATATAAGTATAAAACTTGGGCACTGTGGTAGAACAACACATTTAAGCGAACAATATTGTGCTTTCAATTAGATCTCATCAGGCTTAACTCTAATATACACACATAATTTTACAAATAAAAATTCAAATATAAACCAATCATGGTATTTTGTCTATAGGATAATAAGATGGTGAATATAAATTGTGCAATTTGTCATAATAATAATAATAATAATTGTTTTATCAATAATAAGGATGAAAAAGTGAGGCAATCTGTGATGGGCTCTTAGAGTAGTTTCATAAAGAAACATGAAAACATCAGAGAGAAAACCTGAGACTCTGACTGCACGTAAAAAGCCTCTATTTATTAAGTTCAAATTTAATGGTGACTTATCAAGTGAGATTTTGTTCCAGAGACTTTCCAGGAGCATACGAAGAATACTTTACGCAGCATACCTGTGTTTGTCATTCTCTAGCCGACGAATGATTGGGACGTAAACGAAGGATAAGCTAGATAGCTTTGCCACATCTATGTGGATTTATCAATTCAACTGCACCTGCAGTGACAGTTATGTTGGGCGTACTACTACTAGACAGCTTAGTCGACGTGTTAGTGAACATCTCCCATCGTGGTTCGGCAAAGGACAGGCAAAAACAATCTGTAGCTCAATTTTGTCACATTTAACTGATAGTGGTCATGTAGTGGAGAAAACGAGAGCTTTCGAAGTAATTCATCGTATCCCATCAAATCTTTCCAATAGACTTCGTATTCGTCTACTGAAGACGGCTGAGGCGATAGGCATTCGAGCTATTAAAACTAAACGATGCTCATTGAAAAGAAGTTCGTACAGCTATTATTCCTCCTTTGGCCTGTTAAGACATAAACCACTGATGACTTCTCCACCAGCTCTTACTTATATTTTCAACCCCTCTCTTTTCATCCCTTAATCTTATCACACCTTCATTAAAAACGTGTTTCATTTACTTCCCTTACAATCAGTCTAGCATTATTTAATCGGTTCATTTGTTTTTACTAGCATTTATCGACTACCATGTCTACCTGAACACTTGTGTAATCATGCTGTTTTTTCATTATTCGTGTTATCACAGATTGCCTCACTTTTTCATCCTTATTATTGATAAAACAATTGTTATTATTATTATTATGACAAATTGCACAATTTATATTCACCATCTTATTATCCTATAGACAAAATACCATGATTGGTTTATATTTGAATTTTTATTTGTAAAGTTATGTGTGTATATTAGAGTTAAGCCTGATGAGATCTAATTGAAAGCACAATATTGTTCGCTTAAATGTGCTGTTCTAAATTTTACTATAAGAATATTTGATACACTGTGGTAGAGTATAACTCCATTACGGATAAGATTTTATTTTGATAAGTCACACAGTGTTAAACAGTTAAATTAATTGATGACGTTTCGAGCACAAATTATCACCACTTATAATCATACCAAGGCATTACTGACACAACTTTTTCCTTCATTTATATACATGTGTGCAATCGATTAGATATTTTAATAAAAATCAGTATGTGATAATGTACCTTCAGAAATAATATTATGAGTGTTACTGATCAATTACAATTAGATGGGAAATAAGACGAGTGTTTTTATAGTCATAATAAGTAACTTGTTAGAATGTTGTGATGTGCTTGAATTGAAATAGAATTTTGAGATTATTTATAGTCCTCCTCTGATATGACTGACTGGTGGTAATAATATCTTCCATATCTCTGGTATTTGCATGGAGTCACTTCTGCTTTGTATATGTTGTATTGGGTGTAGACTCGATGATGAACAAGGATTCAGCAATCACTCTCTCTCTGTCTCCACCTACACAGATAACTTCTTAGAATCTTAACCCTCTCCCACCCACCCTATTGTGTGGTTTTGTTAAAACGTGTAGTGCAATTGCTGAGCTTTTTTCTAAATTACTCATTTTCTTGGGGTCAACCATTGTTACCTTAGCTAAATTCTTATGTTCCCACAATCTGATTACCCCCGACCTACTAGTTTGACCTATGTAGTTGACCTTACAGTCATTGAAACGTGTTTTGTAAATTATATTATTTTGTCTAATTGAGTCCACCTTAGGGTCCTTTAACCTACAGAGCTTGTCCCGTCTGAGTGAGTTTGTAGTTTTGAATGCCACCCTAATTCCTGCTTTATTGAGAATCCTACGTAGAGAGGGTCTCAGATGTCCCCTCCTTATATGGTATAGCAGTGGATGACTTATATTCTCTCTTATTCATGTTATCACTACTAGTTTCACAATTATTTTTATTTTGCTTTTGGCCCTTACTTATCTTCCTAATGAATTTTATAGAATGGTTAGTTATTTGACACCAACGCTTCTTCTCTCTGTTTTATTTCGTCATTTATGTCTCTTCTTGTGCTACTTAGTGCTATCGGTCGGTCTGTTAGACAGTTAACTAAGCCTGCCTTAACAGTTAATGAATGAGACGAATTAAAGTCTAAATATCTATTAGTGGAATGAGTTGACTTTTTATAAACACTAGTGTACAGTTTACCCTGTTCTATTCGTTTTATTTTACAATCTAACATCACAGCTAATTCTCCTTGTTAATTTTATGATTCAAATGTGAATTTTATTCCCTCTACTAGTGAATTTATGTGTATCAAGCAGCTAGACATATGTTCCATTTTTAACACTGTGAAACTGTCATCCACATATCTCCAACATATTTTTGGAGTAGGATTAAATGTTTTAAGAGCTAAGCCATTGTCTTTCTCGTGAAGCAATGTTTGCTGACATAGGATTAGTGTCTGTCTGTCTGTCTGTTTTCGACATAGAACTTTGCACAAATGTGCGGAAGTTCAAGTCGCCACATTCCGTGTAGCACGCGAAGCAAGAGAAGAAAGTATAAGAAAAGCATAATAGAAACAGTGAGCAGAGGTAAGAGACAAAGGAGTAATAAAGAATAACAAAACAGTTTCATTGGAGATCATAAGTCACAGGGAGTGGATGCATCCGCGTTAGCCACTGAGAACGATTTTGAGCCATGTCACCAATTGTTTCCAACCATAGATTTTTACCGTCCCGAGGACCCCAGCCTGGAAGTCTACACCTTCCTACGTGGCTTAGACCAACTGTTGTGGATTTCATTGACTGGTGATGCCAAGTTTTTGTTTGACCGCCGCTAGCTTTTTTCTAGCCTGACCCTATATCCTCTAACATAGCTCGTCGAGGGAGGCGATGGCTTGGCATACGTAACACATGTCCTAACCATCTCAGTCGATGTAGCTTCACGACTTCGTCGATTGATTTCCCCTGTTTACCTAGAACTCTACGCCTAACCTCCATGTTGCTCACCTTATTATGCCACTTTACACGGGAAATAGAACGCAGGCACCTATGATCAAAGACAGCTAGTCTTTTCATGTCTTCCACTCTGAGTGGCCAGGTCTCACAACCATAAAGGAGGACGGAGCGGACTGATGAGCAGTACACCCGCCCTTTGGTCGATAGTCGAACATCTCGTCTACGCCAGAGAAAGAGTTAAGAGTGATCAAATCAAAACCTTGCATTAAGATTATTATTATTATTCGCTTTGGTTCCGACTGGAACATACGGCTTCAACAACACATCTCCACTTTCTTCTTTTTTTCTTCTGCCGTCCTCTCCAGCAGGGTGGGTTCACGATCGACCATAATGTATCATCTTCCAACTTAATGATCTCCATGTCACCCTGGGATTCTACTCGAGCTATGGCCTGCATTGCGTGCGACGACATCATTCGATGACCTCCTCAACGTATGCTCGATCCATCTCCATTTACCCCCAAACATATATTTGTTGAGCGATAGGCTCTTGGTTGGTTTTATTTCCAGACACAGTTTGTTGTTGCTAATTCTTTCTGGTTGGCTGACTGACTGGTCATTTGATCTTGAGTATGGAGTCAGTCAGCGAAGGCAGCTTCACATTTGTGTTGAAAATCGGAATCTCGTGTTTTTTTTGTGTTGCGGAGTGCAAAAGACTTTCAAACTGATTTCAAGTTGATGAAGACATATCCATGGCCTTTCGATTCTGTTTCTATAGTTTGGTTTGTAAGGATTAGTTATGTTTTACGAGTTGATCACGGATTGATATCAGTTAGAGAACCATTGAAAACCAGGGAGTACTGGACAGCTGCTGTTTCATCCTAGTTTGGGAATCATCGGCAATACGCACCCACTGGGATTCGAACCTGATTCTGATTGGCTAGCGATGACATCTTCATCTGTTCCTACTGTCTGTGATTGAAACCATATTTCCTAGCCGGATAAGTGAAGGAAGGAGGTAACCACTGTCAAATTTCTCCCGTTGATGCTGATTGGTGCTGGTTGTTGTTTGGTTGATTTTCTTCATCACTCACGTCTTCTCTCTCTGTTCACTTGCAATCCTTTCTTCACCGTCTGCCTCTTCAGCCAGCCTTTGGTTTTCGCCTCCCATAGGTTTTCGAGTTTGTGCGGCATATTAAACATGAATAATCCATGTTCGGAATCCAGGATTTTTATAGTCTTCTGATCGGTCAGTCCAACCTATTCCTGTCTTTTCACTCACTCCCTGTGCACAGTCGTCCACTCCATCACAATTGGGAATATCATTGGTGATAATGGGGGTAACTTTGTCCTACTCCTCTTATTGACTTCGAACGCCTCGTTGAGTTTTCCGTTGTAGACCATCTGACACTTGACATTGTCATATATAGCGAGCTGTTGAATGAGGTTAATGAAGACCACCATAGGCATTGCCCCCACCATAATGTTGAAACAGTTTACAAATATATATTTATGTAATAATAGAGAAGATTTGTAGCTAAGGTGGCTCAGGCATTACATCGGCCAGATTGGATGTTCCCTTCGAATCAGACTAGCTGTCTTTGATCATAGGTGCCTGCGTTCTATTTCCCGTGTAAAGTGGCATAATAAGGTGAGCAACATGGAGGTTAGGCGTAGAGTTCTAGGTAAACAGGGGAAATCAATCGACGAAGTCGTGAAGCTACAAAGACTGAGATGGTTAGGACATGTGTTACGTATGCCAAACCATCGCCTCCCTCGACGAGCAATGTTAGCGGATATAGGGTCAGGCTGGAAAAAAGCTAGCGGCGGTCAAACAAAAACTTGGCATCAGTCAATGAAATCCACAACAGTTGGTCTAATCCACGTAGAAAGGTGTAGACTTCCAGGCTGGGGTCCTCGGGACGGTAAAAATCTATGGTTGGAAACAATTGGTGACATGGCTCAAAACCGTTCTCAGTGGCGCAGATGCATCCACTCCCTGTGACTTATGATCTTCAATGAAACTGTTTCGTATTTCTTTATTACTCCTCCTTTGTCTCACACCTCTGCTCACTGTTTCTATTATGCTTTTCTTGTACTTTCTTCTCTTGCTTCGCGTGCTACACGGAATGTGGCGACTTGAACTTCCGCACATTTGTGCAGAGTTCTATGTCGGAAACAGACAGACAGACAGACTTCGAATCAGAATCCAGGAACACAAATCAGCCGTGAAAAGACATGATATATATTCTTTCATATCAATGCATACAGACAGTTATGGATATCAGTTTGATTGGGGTAATGTCGAAATCTTAGACAGAGGAAACACTAAACGTGCAGTCAGGGAATTCCTAGAAGCCTGGTACTCAAACGAATATGGAATTAACAAACACGTTAATGAAGACTAAATATACCAACTAATAAAAAGTAAATCAGGTGACCAGAAAGCTTAAAATCCAAGTCAATAGAAAATGATCAATACATATGTAAAGATGGTTACCGGGAGACGCAGTAATATCACTCATGAAGAAATTTAAATCATTTCATTTTATGCTCAATATCGCGCTGAAAGGGGATGTTGTCCAGAAGGCCAACGAAAGCTCCGCAAGTAAACCACCCAGCTCAGAGAAGACGATTAATTGCATATATTTCTATATTTCTACAGTTCAATTGTTTGTACATATATTATGTATATTTTCTTTTCTTAGGAGGGAATAATGTTGGCCTCTTCAGGCGCGCACACACACACACACAGATGCTTCGTTAATCATCAACGAAATCAAACAGACCTGGAATTATGCAATCATCTCATTTCCTTCATAATTTTATTCATCTACAATGTGATCTATCTGTGCATCTCTATGATGCAATCACAGTCACTGTCTTCCTTTTGCAGAAATTGAAGCACACACAAAAAAATGATACTTTTCGCCTATATATGGATTATGGTGATGATGTCATCAGCTTCATATTTGATATTACTCATATATATATCTGGGACATATATGCATTCCTCTGACTACCTGAATATTAATATATAAATGTCCTATCTCTTTTTTTCATGATCAATACGCAACCAGATTTTAATTTTTTTTATATTTTTAATTTACTTTTGTTTGAATTATCTAATATCAATTTTTAATGACGAATATGGATGTGTCATCATTTCGAATGAAACTAAATTAAAACTGATGTGATCAGATATTGTGCTTTTGAATAAAAATATTATTATTATTATTATTATCAAAACTACTTTTCGTTAATGTTTGTAGATATCTATGAGAAAGATTTGTAGCTCAGATAGGTAAAGTTTTCTCTTCTTAGCTGGATATTTGATTGCATTGTGAAGCTCTCTTACATCGCTTAAGCTTAGACTTTATTATTATTATTTCCTTTAATTCCTAGAGGAACATAGGGCTTCAGCCGCCCAAGTCTCCATTGCGTTCGGTTCTCTGCTAGAGTATTCACCTGCCTCCAGGTCTACCCACATGTTTCCATCTCCTCTTCACACGACCTCCTCCAAGCCACTCTTGCACTGACGATCAACTCGTCGCTTCCCTTTCGGCCTTGTTCCACTCGAGCAATGGCTTGTCTAGTGATATCACTTGATGTTTAGTTTTCTCAGAGTATGGCCAATCCATCTCTATTTTTCCTGCCTACTTGTTGCACAATGGGTTTCCACTGGATTGGTTTGCTCATTGCCAGAGATTCCTGTTTCTGATCTTTTCTGGCCGGCCATCTGATCTTGAGTAGTATTGAGCGAAAACAGCTGTTAATGAAGGTCTGTATTTTGTTTGAGGTGCTCTTTATGACGCGCCAAGTCTCTGATCCATCCGTATAGTGAGTAGCACTGACTTCACATTGGAATTGAGAATCCGGATGTTATTTTTGATGCTGATTGCTGTTGACCTCCACACAGACTTGAGAGTAATGAAAACTTGCGTAGCTTTCCCGATCTTTGCTTTGATATCCTCGTCAGTTCTGTCCGCCTGTAGTTGAAACGATGCTTCCCAGTTTGGTAGGTAAAGGAGGTTGTTTCCTCCAGGTTTCTCCCGTTTATGCTGGCTGATTGTCTGTTGTTGTTGTTGTTGCTGTTGGTATTGGCCGGAAATCTTCATCACCTTTGTTTTCTCTATGTGTACTTGGAGTCATATCTTTGATGCTTCTTCTATTGCCAACTTGTTGCTTTTCATTTCCATATCTTCCAGTTTTTGGGAAATCAGACATATATCGTCGGCGAAGTTCAGATCCTCCAAGTCATTTTTTGTGTAAGTTCATTTTATGCCTGTTTCCTCGCTGCCCGCCGCTGTCTGTCGCATTATCCAGTCTACCGCCCACCATCACGAAAATAATTGGATATAGTAGGCAGCCAGCCTGTCTTACTCCGGTATTCACTTCGAAGGATTCCGTAAGTTTCCCATTGTGGATTATTTGGCATACAGCATTGTCGTACAACTGTTGCATGAAATATATAATTGTCGGCGGCACCCGGTAGTAGCGAAGTAGTTGCCAAATCAGCTTAGACTTTAGTCTGTCTGCAAAATCAATAAAGACTAACAACTAAATTTACTGGACAAATCTGATTGGCTGTTATTGACTTCAGAAAAATGAATCCAAAAAAGGACCAATCAGCTTATCATGTCGGTACATTTATCAGTCATGATTTGAAAGCTAACAAAGAAGCTCGACTGTCTGCACACTGGGGAATACCATCTTTGAAAAATATGAAACTGGAGTCGAAGAGAAAGAGTTTCTGTTTTTGTAGCTGGTTTAGTTTAGGTTCTTGAAAAGTTTTAAGATATACTCACTTATTTAGGTTTTTCTAGGGATTCTACTCACATATCTGTTCTGCAACTGAAGATTTTGAGAATCTTTAGTATCTATGGTCATCAAAATGGGATGCAGGGTGATTCACTCTTTATCTGTTTTTAAAGCGATTCACTCTTCTGGTATTGGTTATTTCAATCCAAAGTTCTGTGCTGTATGATCTATCAGCTGTTTAGAAGAAAGTCAGCTCTATTCGCGGCCTACTTAAAACTTCGGTTACCGAAAACCTTCATCAAAATATTGGATATGTGTACTGATGAAGAGTCCTAAACTAGGACGAAACAGCTGTCCAGTACTCCCAGGTTTTCCAATGGTTCTCTAACCAATGTCAGTTCATGATGAAGTCCTGTAACCAATCAAATCCCTACAAACCAACACTTGAATATCAATGAAATTCTCACTAGCGACTTGCCCTATTTAGGTAGGTAGTTACCTGGGGTTCTAGTGGGAAGTCGTGACCAGTAGAGTGCAGCAGGTCGGGTGTGAGGACAAATACTCGCTGAAGACATTGGCTAGCGGTCGCAGTATGTCGTGAATTGTCAGAAGTTAAAATTCATGGGCTGGCCATTGGATCGGGTCCAAGTGGCTTAATGGTCTACGAGCTCGCTAGCCTTGTAACCAGAAGGCCCTAGGTTCGAACCCCGGTGGGTGCGCACTGCTGAAGATTAGTCCGAAGCTAGGATGAAACAGCTGTCTAGTACTCCCAGGTTTTCCAATGATTCTCTAACCAATGTCAGCTCATGATGAAATCCCATTTCACTTATTCAGTTTGTTTAAATCCAGTAAAATATGACCTCTCATAATATTTTCAAAAGAATAGTGGTTGAATAAAGAATACTCTTTTTGATAACTTCATCATCAGGCTCTACAGTTATACATACCTTATAGTGAACGAGTGAATTAGTGTTATGAACAACATTAATGTTGCTGTTTAAATAACGTCGAATCAATAGATTATAGTTCAATAGATATCAACATAACAATACTAATGCAATTCAAAGGGACGATAAACCTTGCAAAATAATTACGAAGAAATTAAGAAAATCAGTTCAAAGAACTTTTACTGTTGTAGTAATCATGACTTTTGTTTAGTTTGTTTACTACACGACCAGCAGTGATTCCTTTGTCGTGAGAGCTGGCTGCTAGCCAAATTGGGGTAGACAGTAATTTACCTCAATGTTTATGTCCCCAATATTGGTCTTGAGAAAAACAAGAACAAAGACTGATTCAACAATCAATCACAGGAGACTTTGCCTAGGCGGATACAATTTACGGATAGATAATTTGAATTTCAATAAACGGCTACAAAGAGATGAAAGATTAACGTTCAGCGAGAAACCACCGATCAGAAGACTCTTTGTTTGCTTACAATATTCCATAATAATGTACATGTAAATCTATAAATATGTGTTGATTTCCTAAATAAACGATCTGTTTCCTGGCCCTTGTCTTCTGTTGCTGAAAGATGAAGTACCTAGACTAACCACCTTTTCTAATTGTATCGGCCAATTGAATTGCGCTTGTGCTGGAGCGAGTTGTATTGACCGTTGCTCTAGGAACTTGATTCTTCGTGCTCGCTCGAGAATATACCCGAGTATGGCTAAGTAAAAGTGTAGCAAAAACCATCAGCAGTTCGATATTAGACCACCTGGTCTAAACTGACCGGCCACGAAGCCAGCATTGAAGAATGCTTCTCTTTCATCTACCGGGTACCGACCAAATAAATTTACCGAAAACATCGAGGTACGGCATACTGAAAACAGCAGAGGCTACCTCGATTCGCGTCGAACAACCAGTGTTTTGTGTACAGAAGAAGAAGTAGCAATTCCAGCCACTACTACTGCCCTGGCCTTCAGTAAAGACTATAAATTCATGCAATTTTATTCTTATCTTTCTTAATTTCTCTGTCTGATATTCAGTGTATTGTTATGTTTATGTTATTGAACTGTAATCCACTGATATTATTATTATTGACTCGATGTTATTTAAGCAACATTTATGTTGTTTAGAGTATTCTTTGTTCATTAACCATTCTTTTGAAAATTTTAATGAAATTAGGGTAGTAAAAAAGGTGATGAGTTGTCACAAACAGTCGTTTGTTTGCCTGTTCTTTAATTGCTTACGTAATCTCGTATTATCTACTTTGTTCCTCTATGTGCATCCTGAGTAAAACTCACTCGTCAAACTATTCATATTATTACATAACTTCTTGTTTAACAACTGTTTATGACAACTCATCACTTCTGTTACTACCCTAATTTCATTAACACCTATTTTACGTGATTGATTTTGTATTACTTAAATCCAATTATCAATCTTCACCTGTTTAATTAACCATAGCCATAACCAATTGTATTTATGTTTGACAAATTTAATGTACACATACATACAAAATAATACATATAGATATTTGCGATTGTACAGCTAAGAAAATGAATTCGCCGTCGAAAAGAGACTGTTCGCTGAACTATGTGTTTTGTTTTTAATTAATGCCTGGATAGGGATTATCCACAAATTAAAACTTTTGGAGTTGACATGAGCAACATAATTATCTACTTTTGACTGAATTAATGAGCAGTAATAAATACACTAAAAAAAAGTTTTTGTTAAATATAAATACGACTGTACAACCTCCGAAGGTGATTTTGTCGATAAAGAAAATTATCTTTTTGCTGAATTGTCTTTTAGTTTCTTCATATGTCATAAAAATAGCATTAATTGAGAAGAAGTTCTGTACTTAGGTTCCATGTGTATTGCGACTGATGCCCCCCCTGCGATTCAAACATTCATTACTCACTGATGTAGTCCGACATTACTATTCAGGTATTTGGACCCTCTTCAAGGATACGTTTCCTTCGAGGCTGCATATACTCCTCATTAACCAGTATCAGTAAGCTGGAAACCTAGATCCAGGGCTTCCTACCGACTGCTTTCAATCAACTAACATTATTTCAAAAAAGTACAATGTGATAAGATTTCCCCGTGAACTTGTGACTACGTTGCAAACTCATTAGCAGAATTCAGTCTGAACCACTGAAGACTTGTCATGTGAGACTGATTACTCTACAGTAGGGAG